ACACGGGAGAGGAAGAGGAAGGTGTCATTCCAGTGGGGCAGGAGCTGGGCCGCCTCCTCGTCGTACACCCGTACGTTCATGTACGTGAACAGCGCTGGGAAGAAGTTGTCAATCTCCCGCGCCACATTCAGGATGTGTGTGACCCTGTGGGGACAGAGGTGACACCCCAACGGGTGTCCTCTGATGACCTCATACCTGCCCCACCCATGCCAGATAATCCCATGCCACACCACTCCAGATGACCCCATACACATCCATGACATTCCAGATGACCACTGTGCCACCCCAGATGACCCCATGCTCACCCATGACACCCCAGATGCCCCCATGCCACCCCAGTGGCACCCCAGATGACCCCATGACCACCCCACCATGACCCCAGGTGCCCCCGTGCCATCCCACACTCACTTGTTCTGCTGCAGCTCCTCCAGGTTGGCCGCATTCCACTCGGAGCCCTGTGCGGTGACAGCGATGAGGGATGGGGACACCCCTGCCCACCCTCCCCACCCTTCCCACCCCGCTGCCCACCAGGTAGAGGTGCGGGAACACCCGTGAGGGCCGGTCCATCTGCGCCAGCACGAGCAGCATCTCGTTGTCGATGAAGTCCTTGTGCTGGGCCAGGCTGTGCCCCGTGCGCCGCTCCAGCTCCTCCCGCACCTGCACACCGCCAGGGGGTGAGGGACGGCCCTGCCTGGCCTTCCCTGTCCCCCCCGCCTGCTGCCACCCACCTCCTTGGAGGTGACGTTCTCCAGGTCGGCAGTGGCCATCACGTCCCGCAGCAGCGCCCGCACCGCCTGCTCCGACAGCTCTGGTGCCGCTGGCCTGGCACCCCCATCACCTCATCACGGGTGTCACCACCGGCACTGCCCACCCACCCCAGCCAGACCATGCCCTGCACAGACCCCATCTCCCTGTGCTCGGGGCCCTCCCCTAAATGCAAGCCCTGCCCCTCCATGACCCATTTTCATTAAGTGGGAAACTTAAAGACTGGAAGCTCTACCCATTTTATTTAAGACCCATCCGTTCCTTTAAGCCCCATCCCATCCAGACAAGCCCTGCCCCATACGCCACACGCGGAATGCAGATCCCACCCGGCAGAACCCCGCCCTCACAGCCCCACCCAATGCCCCACCCTTACACCACAAGCCACACCCGTACCCAGGCTATGGGGCGGCTCTTACCGCAGGGGCGGGGGCGATGCCGGGCGCACGGACTCGAGGTCGGCCATGGCCAGCCACTCGTTGAGGCAGCTCTGCTCCGAGCTCAGCGCCGCCGCGTAGCCGTGGGCCCAGGCCAGCGCGGGGCCCCCCGGGATGTGCCCGCCGCGGGCAGCGTCCTCGCAGGCACGGTGCAGCTCCTGCAGCACGGCCCTGCCGCACGCCACCTGCCACCCCCGCTCTGCCACCGCCACCCCGACACCACCCCGGCACAGCCTGCCACCACCCCAACGCCGTGTCCCTGTGCTGGCTGTCCCCAGCACGTGGATGCCGCTATCCCTCTGCCAGCCATGCCCAAGCCCTCCCCCAGCCCTGTTCCCATGACTGTGCCCATGGTGGTGCCTGTAGATCCATGTCCTGGCTCTGCCCATGGTGGTGCCGACATCCCCTGTGCCCATGCTGACACCCACGTTCCCTGGGCCCCAGCAGTGCCCATGTTCCCCATGCCCCCAGCAGTTCCCATATCCTGTGTCCATGGTGGTGCTCCCATCCCCTGTGCCCTTGGCAGTGCCCACATTCCCCATGTCTGTTGTGAGCTCAGATCCCCCATGCCATGGTGGTGCCCACACCCCCTTGGCCCGTGGCAGTGCCCACGTCCCCCATATCCGAGGTGGTGCCCACGCCCCCCATGCCCACGGTTACACCCAGGCCTGGCTCACCACATGGTCTGCACTGAGATGGGCTTGAAGATGCGGGTCTGTCCCCCCGACGTCACGCTGAACCCCCTGGGCACCACGGGGACACGTATGGGTCAGGGTGGGCACCCCAGGCCCACCCCTCCCATGGGCCTCACCCCTCTAAGCCCCTCCCCATCCCCAGAATCCCAGCTCCCCTTACCCATCGCCGTCGAGGAACACCTGGGTGTCGCTCCAGAGGGGCAGCACCATGCCCAGGGTGCAGCAGGTGGCCCTGGGGCGGGCACAGGTCAGGGGGTGCGGCCGCCCCACCGTGCCCCCCCCGCATCCCGCTCACCCCTCGTGGGCGAAATCCACTCCCAGCAGCGCCGTCTGGCCCTCGGCTCCCACCTCCTCCGGCCGCACCACCAGCAGGTACCGCACACGCCGCGGCCGCGCCGACTCCAGCCGCACCGCCTGAGGGTGACGGGGGCACTGGCAGGGGGATTGCCCCTCCCCAGAGCCCCCCAGTGCTCCCAGGGACATGGGAGGAGCATCAAGCATGCCGGGGGCCAGGCTGGGCCGTATCTCATCCTTACACCATCCCCATCCATTCCAGCCCTGTTCCTATTCTGTCCTGTCCTGTTCCATCCCCGTCTTGACGTCATCCTACCACATCCCCGTTCTGTCCCTGTCCATATCCCATCCCATCCCATCCCCTCCCTGTCCCCATTCCATCCCCACGTTCCAGAGGGATCCATGCCCTACCAGCCGGATGGCATCCTGGGGGCGCAGCAATTGCATCATGAGGTGCAGGTGCCTCTCCTGCTGCCTCGGGGCCTGGCCAGGAGGCTCATCTGGTGGAGGCTCATCCAGGGGGGTCTCAGCTGGGGGAGGCTCATCCTGGGGGGGCTCCTCCGCAGGCAGCAGCAGTGCAGCCCCCTTGACCATGACAAAGCTCTGCCTGGGGGGCAGGAGGGTCCTGAGCAGCTGGGGCACCCCCAGAGCGCTCCTCTGAGGGAGACAGAGCTGGGGAGGGGGCAGCTGTACCCTCCCCATCCCAGTGCCCCCCATCCCGGGGGTCCCGAGGCCCCTCTCACCGCCGCTGCAGTTTGCCACGTCTGGGAGCATCTTCCTCCTGCAAATTGTGGGGGGCAATTCCTGGGGGGAGTGTGACCCCAGGGCACGGGCAATGCCTGGGGGTCCCACCCCCCCTCTCCCCCCAGCATGGACACCACAGACCAGTGACCCCCTGCCAACCACCACCCCTATGGGCCCCTGGGGGGGGGGTGTAGGGGCCCCATGGGGGTCCCACTGGGGAGGTGGATCCCTGGGGACTTCCCCTCAGAATAGCAGAGGGGGTACTGCCCCGGTGCCTCCTACCCTGGAATGGGGAGCCTGGGATGAGCACCCAGAAAAGGCCCAGTGGTTACTGGAGAGGGGGGGTCACCGGGAGCCACTGGGACGGTGAAGGGACTGGGAGGACTGGGGAAAGTGGGAGCCACTGGGGACAGCCATCCACACCCCCATATTCCGCCCTTAACTGCGGGAGCAGCGGAGACACCAACGTGCGCTGAGGGCAACTGGGTAAACTTCCAGCAAACTCGTAGTAAAGTTCCACCGGGAACGGCCGGGATAACCTTGCACCGGGAGCGACTGGAGATTTCCGCCCCCTGCCTCTACCTTCCCGCTGGGATCCCCCGGACCAGCCCATCGCGACCTCCGAAGCAGCGGGGCTCCCGGGAACAGCCCCCCGCACCGGACCCCCCCGAACCAACCTAACCCCCCCCCTCCCAGGGCACCGGGACGCGCAGGAGCTCCGAGACCCCCACGCCCACCCTGCACGCCCGCACCGGGATCCCCCGGGGCTCCGGGACAGCCCGTTTCCCCCCGGGAGTCCCCATCCCCCGCACCGGGATGGCCCGGGACAGCCCGTACCCCCGCACCGGGACCTCCCCGGGCTCCGGGACCCCCCGGGCCGTCCCCGCCGGGATGCCCCGCTCGGCCCCCCCATGGCGGTGCCGCACTCACCGCGGGGCCCCCGGCGGAGCCCCCCGCCCGCCGCACCGTCACCAGCGCCATGCCCCGCCGCGCCGCCCCCCCGCACCAGGAAGCGCCGCCGCTGCCCCGCCCGCACGGGAACGGGAACGGGAGCGGGAGCGGGCACGGCTCCGGGCACGGCTCCGAGTCCCCCCGGCCACGGCAACACCGGCCCCGGCACCAACGCAGAGCATCCCCAGCATCCCGGAGCCGCCCCGGCAGCCTTTCCCGGGGATTAGCCGGGACCCCCATCCGCTGGGGTTGCCCCTGGGCAACTCAGGATTCACGTTCCAGCCCGTGGGACGCCCCTACCCCCGGGAAAGAGGGAAACTCCCGAGCTCCCCGGCATACGGGACCCCCCACCATGTCGCCAGCAGATGGGAACCCACCCAGTTTCCCAGAACCGGGGACCCTCCAGGTCCTCAGAGCGTGGGAGCCCTCCGAGGGTTCCCAGCACTTGAGACCTCACCCAGGTCCCCAGAACGTGAGACTCCCCACACCCTCAGGTCTCCAGAAAATGAGAAGCCCCCAAGGGTCCTGGCACCTGGGACCCCTCAGGTCCACAGCAGGGGGGAACACCACAAGAGACCTCAGCATCCATGCCATCCCAGATCCCATCAGGTGGGAATCCCCCAAGGGTCCCCAGCAGGTGGGACCCCCCACTCCCCCCCAGTTCCCCAACCCATGGGACACCCCCAGGTACGCTGTAAGTGTGAATGTCCTGAGGGTCCCCAGCACTTGAGACCCCCCTAGGTCTCATCAAGTGGAAATCTCCTGAGGGTCCCCAGCACGTGACAGCCCCCCAAGAGCCTTGTCACCCCATGGGGCCCCAGTCAAGCCCCTCTTCCTGGGTGAGGGTATCCTCAGGAAATATAATTAAATAAATCAACCTCAGGGCTGGGAATGGGGGCACAGGGCCAGATTTGGGGGAGTTGAAGGGGAGGAGCACCCCAGCAGTGCCACACATACGCTTAGTGGCTGAGGCCCATCACCTGAGCCCCACCCTACCTGTAGGCTCCACCCTTTTTCCCAGCCTCCACCCCATGGGACACCCCACCCATCACCCCCTCAGGCACAGACAAGTGTTTTTGTATATATATATATATATATATATATATGTATATGTATATGTACAGACATTCGGGGCCCCCCTGCTCCCCCCACTGCAACGAGAGATGAGGCCAGGGGGTACCCCTGCAAAACCCCCCCAGCTGGAGTGCCTTTAAATAGGGGTCACCCACATCCCACGGGGACCCCTGGGGCCATCCTGCCCCCCAGGGGGTCAAGGTACAACACCAAAGAGGAGGGAGGTCCCAGGGGAGGGGGACCTAGGAATTGGGGTGTTCCTGGGGTGGGGGTTCCCAGGTGAGGGTCCCTGGGCTGAGGTTTGAGCCTGGCAGGAGAGGAGCCCTGGACTGGGGGTCCTGGGGGTAGGAGGATCCCTGGATCAAATTCCCCCATGCGGGGGCTGTGCCCACATCAGGGGGTCCCCATCATGGGGGGGCCACCCCGGCAGGGCTGTGCCCAAACTGGGGTGTCCCAGCGTAGGACAGCGTCCACGCTGGGTTGTTCCCTGGGTGGGGTGTCCCTGTCCCTGCAAGGGGTGCGTCCCCACGTGGGACATCCGTGTCCCTGCATGGCGTGACCCCACGTGGAACATCCCTGTCCCGGCGCGGGGCGTCCCTGTCCCGGCGCGGAGCGTCCCGGCGCTACTTTTCGGTGAGGGAGAGGCGCAGGATGCGCTGGAGCTCCTCGTCCTCCTCACGCCGCCGCCGCTCCCGCTCCTCCTGCTCCCGCTCCGACAGGGCCATGGCCAGGCGCAGCTGCTCCGCGAAGCTGCCGTACCCGGGGGGGGCTGGGGGGCTCCCCCCACCCGCGCCGGGGGGGCTCCCGGCGGCCGGGGGCTCGGCGCTGGGCCTGGCCTGCAGCAGCATGCTCTCCTGCAGGGCCCTGCCAGGGGGATGGCAAACACTGCCGTGGCCCCTTTGTGGAGGCCACACCCCCTTTGTGGAGGCCACACCCCCTTTGTGGAGGCCACGCCCCCTCTGCCACACCTGTGCCCCACCCACCTGCCAGCCACACCCACACCAGTCACTAGCCCTGCCCTCTATGGCCACACCCTTTGGACAGCAAGAAGCTCCTCCCCTTTTTGTGGCCCCCAAACCTTGATGTGGTTAAGCCCTGCCCCTCATGGACCTGTTCCCTCTCACCAACGTTTTAAGCCCCTTTAGGCCACACCCCTCTGCCCCACCCACACATCTTTAAGACCCACCCCCTAAGCCACACCCTCAGAGCCCCTCCCCAATCTGACACCTAAATCCCCTCCTCTTTAGGCCACACCCCTATGGCCACACCCCCTCCCCTCTTCCCAATTGGACACATAAAGCCCCTCCCATCTAGGCCACACCCACGTGGCCCCTCCTCTCTCCCAATGTCACACCTTGAAGCCCTGACCATCTAAACCACCCCCCTGGCCCCTCCCCTGCCCCACCCTAACGCCTTTAGGTCCCTCCCTCACACCAGGTGAGGTGGGCGTGGCACCCCCACCCCGCGAGTGGAGCCCCACCTTTCCAGCTGCAGGTCCTCGTCGTAGGGCGGCGGCTCCGCGCCCGGGCGAGTGTTGGTCAGCGCCTCCCAGATGGTCACCTGTGGGGTGGGTGGGGCTGCAGGTGAGCGGGTGTGGCCAGGTGAGTGGGTGTGGCCAGGTGAGGGGGGCGTGGCCGCACCTGGTCGGTCTCTGTGCCGGCGTCCAGCAGGCTCTGCTGGATGGCGAACTGCAGCAGGTCGTCGTCCTCGTCCCGCAGGGGCTCGCTGCGCCCCGCGCCCAGCACGGTGTACCCCGCGGGCACCTCGAACACCCCCGCCTCCACCTCGCACGGGAACGGCCAGGCTGCCGTGGCAGGGGGGCTGTCAGCACCCGGGGCTACCCCACGGCTCCCCATGGCACCCCGAGACATCCCATGGCCCACCACACGTCCCACAACATCCCACGGTGTCCCACAGCGTCCCATGGCACCCCACGGCATCCCGTGGAAGCCCAAAGTATCCCACAGCACCCTGCACCCATGGCACCACACAGCACCCTGTGCAATACCATGGCACCCCAGTGCACCCCATGGCACCATGATACCCCACAGCATCTCATGGCACCCCACGGCATCCTGTGGCATCCCACAGCACCCCACATCATCCCACGGTGTCCCCTGGTGCCGCACAGCGCCCCACACCCACCCCACTCTCCTGCGCACCCCACATCACTCGTGCCCCCACGCCACCCTGATTCCACGGGGATCCCACGGCTCCCACCACCCCCCGTCCCCCCCCGCCTCACCTCTGGGCCCGGGGGGGTCGGTGCCGGGGGGCTGCTGCGGGGCACAGATCCGCACGGAGCCCAGCGGCTGGTCACACCCGCACAGGTTGCTGAAGGTGATGCGGGCGTTGAGCACGTGGAACAGCGGGATCTCTGCGGGCACGGGGATCAGTGGCTCTGCCCCTAATCAAGCCCTGCCCCTAATTAATCCCAGCCCGACCAAGCCCCGCCCTCACCGATCTTGACGGGGAAGCCGGGGGGCAGCTTGAGGGTGATGAAGTCGCGCAGTTTGGCGAAGTGGGCATTGGAGATGGCCATGAGGTCGATGATGGGTGTCACCTGCTCCGCCAGCGACAGCGGGTGCTGCTCGCACAGCCACAGCGTCGCCTTGAACCTGCCCGGGCACCGCCGTGGGCACGGGGACCCGCCGGGGACACCGCCCCCGCTCCGGGGGACACACCCCCAGTGCCACCGCCCCTGGGACCCTGTCATGGGTTCTAACACCCAGTGCCACACGTCCTTGGGATGCGTGTCACCACTCCCAGGGTTCCTGACACCCACTGCCATGTCCCTGGGGGACCTTGTCACCACCCCAGTGTCACAGCCCCCAGGACCATGTCACCACCCCTCGGAGTCCTGACACCCCATGCCATGTCCCAGGGACCCCGCCATCACCCGGTGGGCCCTGACACCCTGTGCCACTTCCCTGGGGGCCCGTTATGGGTCCTGACACTCCATGCCACGGACCCTGGGACCCTGTGGGGTCAGCACCCCAGGGGTCACGGCCCTGGGACAGTGTCACCACCCCTGTGTCACATATCCCAGGACCCTGCCACCACCACCACGGGTCCTGTCACCCGGTGTCACGTTCCTGGGACTCCTGCCAGCTGGTGCCACATCCCCAGGACCCCATTACCACCCCATGGATCCTGACAGCTGGTACCACATCCCCTGGATCCTGTCACCACCCTGTGGGTCCCGACACACCACGCCATGTCCCTGTGATGTCCACCCCCCCAGGGCAGTGGCCTCACCTCTGGACTTTGCTGGACATCTCGATGGGGCGCCCGATGTTGCGGGTCTCGAGGTCGAAGTGGGGGTCGAAGTATTCCTCAGGGGTGATGGCCGTGGGGTTGGTGGGGCTGGCAGCCTGCAGCACGGGCGCCTGTGGGGACACCAGCGCTGCTCAGCCCCACCAGGGACCCCCAATCTCCCCGGGACCCCCCCTGGCCCAGTCACTCACCCCGTTGTGGGTGCCGTGCTGCTGTGCAATGCCCAGGAAGGAGTGGAAGGGGGTCTTGGAGCCTGGGAGGAGAGGGGAGTGCAGGGGTGCAGCGTGGGCAGTGCGGGGGGGCACCCCTGGGGCTGCCCAGGCTGTCACCAAGTCACACCCTGCGTGGGGTGCCACACCTGATGGGTGCCATCCCACACGGTGTCCCGCGCCTGGCATGTCATGCTCCACGCCCAGTGTCCCACACCTATCCCCTGTCACACCCCACACGCTGTCCCACCCCTGGGGGACACCCAGTGTCCCACACTCAGTGTCCCACACCCACATTTGACACACGTCCCACCCTGCAAGGGGGTGGGCTTTGCCCAGGAGTGGCCACGTCCCCGCTGGGCACGGGCCCCTGACTGGCTGCCGGGGCTGTCACCTTTACTGCGTGACTTGTCCTGGTCCGAGAGATGCTCCGTCCTGGTCTTGGTGACCAGCTCCACGTTACTGGCACTGTACACCTGGAGGGTGACACCGTCAGCCCCGCCGCGCTCCGGGGTGTCCCCAGTGTCCCCCCCCACTCTCTGTGCCCACCTTGGCCTCGTAGCCGCTGACCACCTCCATCTTCTCCGAGCGCCAGCCCCAGATCCCAGACTTGTTCCTGGGAGGGTGGAAGGTGTCAGGTCCCCACGGGGTGGGGGGGGAACCCCACAGCCGCTCACCCTCTCCTTGCGCAAGCGTTTCCTTCCTTCCCCTCCACACGTGCCTCCCCCTGGACACGGCCCCTTCCCGCTGAGTGTCACCATGCCAGGGTGCCGTCCTCGCCCTTCCCACCTCTCAAAGGCGATGTTCCGGGTGTCCAGGTGCGTGGAGACGATGGGGGAGGTGAGCCTGCCGGCCACGTGCTCCTCGCTGGGCTGCATGGCCGCCAGCAGCAGGTCGGGCTCGTGCAGGGCCAGCGCCAGCGTCTCCGTGTACACCACCTGCTTGTCGTGGTCCACCTCCATCACCACGGCCCCCTCGTCTGCGGGGGGACACCGGGGGGTTGGCACACAGCCCCCCACGGCACCCTGACACCCCCCAGCACGGGAGTCACAGCGGGTTCTGGGGTAATTGGGGGGTCCCTGGTATGTGTAGGGACTGAGATGGTCCCCTCTGGAAGGGAGAACTGGGGTCCCAGGGGGTCGCTATAGGGGATCTGGGATCCTTAAAGGGCAGTACTCATAATGCAGGGGGTCTTGGGGAGGCATTTGGAGATTGCCTGAGCCTATCTGGGATTCCAGGGGGTCCCTACAGGGAATCTGGTGGGTGCTTATGGTGGTATTTATAGTGCAGGGGGTCTGGGTGGCTCTCCAGGTGACTGGAGGTTCCCAAGAGGGTCCTTATAGGGAATCAGGGGTCCTTACGGGGACGTAAATACAGAGCAGAGGTGTGAGGGATTCCCAGGGTGACTGGAGGGTGCCAGAGGGTCCCAGAGGTGGGGGGCTGGAGCTGACCTTCCCCCTTGAAGATGTAGCTGCGGCGGCCGCGCTGCCACGTCATGTGCTCGAAGCCCAGCAGGGTGGTGTCCACCCGCAGGCTCTCGCCGCGCTTCCACACGCGGTACACGTCACTGGGGCACACCTTGGACACCAGTGGCACTGCGGGAACGGGGACCCCCTCAGACGCACGCCCGGGGGGCTCCCCGGGACACCCCACAGCCCCCGCCGCCCGCAGAGCCCCGCCACGCTCACCCCAGCTGGTGAACTCCCACTTCATCTCCACGTAGAAGTCGGACGCCTGGAAGGGATGAGGAGCAGGATGAGCTGGGGGGGGGGTCCCTGCTGGGGTCCACTGGGGAGTCCTGGGGGCAGGGATTGGGGTCCCTATAGGTGGGGATGTGGGGATCTGGGAGAGTGGGGTCATGGGTGGAAATTCACAGGGATGGATAAGCAGGGTGTCCCCAGGGAAAGAGTGGGGACAATAGGGAGTTCTAGCAAGACTTTAGGGGGTCCCTCCTGAGGTCACTGGGGAGGGGGGGAGTCCTGAGGGAAGGGATGGGGGTCCCTACCAGGCCCTGGGTGGGGATCAGGGTGACCTGGGAGAGTGGGGTCATTGGTGGAAGCCAAACAGGGAAGGAGTGGGGTCAATGGGGAGTTCTGGGGGGATCCCTTCTGGGCAGTGGGGAGTCTGGGGGGCAGGGATAGGTGTCCTTACTGGGGTCCTGGGTGGGGATGAGGGCAACCCAGCAGAGTGTGGTCATGGGTAGGGGTCCCCAGCGAAGGAAAGGGGTCAGTGGGGGTTCCCTGGGAGGTTTGGGGGTGCAGAGGCCGTGGTGGGCCCCAGCTGGGGGGGGTCTGTACCCGCCGGAGCTTGCTGAGCAGCTCGGGGATGCCGGCGAGCCGCCGCGTCGCCCGCTGGTAGTCGCGGTACTGGAGCACCAGCTGCACCATCTCGGGGTCCCCCGTGCTCACGGCCTCCTGCAGCACTGGGGGGGCAGGGGGCAGGGTCAGCCGGGGGCCGTGGCGGCGGTGTCCCCGTGTCCCCGCGGCGCCCCCGTACCCGTCCATCCGTTGGCGTTCTCCCGGCCCACGTTGGCGTTGTGCCGCAGCAGCACCCGCACCGACTCCAGGTGGCCCAGGGACACGGCCAGCTCCAGGGGGGTCCGGCCACGGGGGTCCGTCAGCTCCACGTCATGCTGGAAGGGTGGCAGGGTCGCTGCCCCCCGGGCACCCTGTGCCACCCAGTGCCCCCCAGTACTCCCCCTTCATCCCCCGTGCTCCCAAGGCCTAGTGCTCCCAGTTACCCCCCAACTCCAGTGCTCCCAGCCCCTCTTCTCCCAGTGCCCTCAGTTTCCCAGCCCCTCTTCTCCCAGTGTCACAGAGCCTCCCCCCTAAGTCTCCCTGTATCCCAGTGCTGCTATCCCAGTGCTCCCAGTTGCTTCCTGACCCCTGGTGCTACTGTCCTCTATTATCCCAGTGTCACGAGTCCTACCAGTGCCACCAGTTCTTCCAGTGTTCCCAGTCCCCTCTGTCCTAGTCTCCCTTAGTACACTCCTTCCCCTTCAGTGCTTCCACTCTTCCTCCAGTGCTCCCAGTCTCCCCAGTCTCCCCTAGTGCTTCCAGTCCCCTCCCCAGTGCCCCCAGTCTTCTCTATTGCTCCCAGTTTCCCTCCAATCCTCCAGGTACCTCTCCCACACTGCTCCCAGTTTCTCCCAGTGCTTCCAGGCCCCGTGGTGCTCCCAGTCCTCCCATCAGTCTCCCCTAGTGCTTCCAGCCCGCTCCTCGTGCTCCCAGTCCTGCCTACTGCTCCCATTCTCCCTCCAGTCCTCCCAGTCCCCCTTCCCACACTGCTTCCCATTTCTCCCAGTCCCTCCAGTGCTCCCAGTCCCTCCAGCGCTCCCAGTTTCTCCCTGTGCTCCCAGTCTCCCTCCAGTCCTCCCAGTCCCCCTTCCCACACTGCTCCCCATTTCTCCCAGTCCCTCCAGCCCTCCCAGTTTCCCCAGTGCTCCCAGTCCTGCCTACTGCTCCCAGTCTCCCTCCAGTGCTCCCAGTCCCCTTCCCATACCGCTCCCCATTTCTCCCAGTGCTCCCAGTCCTGCAGGTCCTCCCAGGACAGCCCCGCATCCCCAGTGCTCCCAGTTTCCCCAGCGCTCCCAGCCCTGCAGGTCCTCCCAGCACGGCCCCGTTTCCCCCAGTGCTCCCAGTCCTGCCTACTGCTCCCAGTCTCCCTCCAGTCCCCCCCATTCCCTTCCCACACTGCTCCCCATTTCTCCCAGTGCTCCCAGTCCCTCCAGCGCTCCCAGCCCTGCAGGTCCTCCCAGCACGGCCCCGCATCCCCACTGCTCCCAGTTTCCCCAGCGCTCCCAGCCCTGCAGGTCCTCCCAGCGCGGCCCCGCATCCCCAGCGCTCCCAGTTTCCCCCAGTCCCCCCCCAAATCCCCTCCACCCACCACCCCCCCCGCCCCCGGCATTCCCAGCGCTCCCAGTCCCCC